AATAAATGATGAAACATAACTATATGTGTGTATATAGTGCTTTAATTTATTATCTGGTAAAAAGAAAATGCCAAGGTAGGTTCCACATTATTTGCACATTTCATCTAATGGTTCATCCCTAAATAACATATTCTTTTCTTGCCCTTACCATATCCATTCTGACAAGAAATTTTAGCTGGAATTAGCAATTATCAGCAATGAAAAAAATCATTCGAAACAATGATACAAGATGAGCTGAAATTGCTTGATTTTTCATAATATCTATGGGCAGAAGGGGATACATGCACTTGATAAAATAGCAAAGGAAGACATCTGTGTGATATCTTTCTATCTGTGCTATAAATATGTACATACAGTAAATATTTCATTTAATACATATTACAAATTTTAGTTAATAATGGATATTTAAAGTGACTTGAATGAGCAGTTAAAAGATACCCACTGAGATTTTCAAAGCAGTCTAGGGAATTTAGACATGTGTCTACATTAATTTTTAAACTTTTCCATTAATTTTAATAGAAGTATGTCTAAATCCCTGAGAGTGTTCTGAAAATGTCCAACAGCTATAATCCATGTTACCAGGTGGGTTTTAAAATGTTCTGACTGACAGTGTTATTAGCTATTTTCTCAGTTACGATTCAGGCCCCAGTGCATCCAAGCACTTAAGCACATGCACAGTCCACTGAAATAAATGGAATAACTCAAGTGCTTAAAGTTACACATGTGCTTAGGTGTTTTGCTGGATCAGGATCTAATGGGCATATATGAGAGAAGATGAAAAGAGTGGGAATTCAAATATTTTCAGAAGGGTAGAGAAGCCAAAGCGGCAGCAGCTCCCCTCTGTACAGTCCTGTTCCTGCCCCATTAAAGTCAATGACAGCTTTGCCCCTGACTTCAGTGGGCATAAGATCAAGTCCTACGCCTGCAGAAATCCCTCCATGGAAACACTTCACAATTGGAGCTCCAAGAGAAATCACCCCTTCCTTCCCTTTGTCACCACCACTCTCTCTCCCCACCAGTCTAGTTCATTATAGTCTGGCATTTAAAATACCATTTTAAATCAGCAAAATTTCTTTATTGGCTAAAAATGCCAACATTATAAGCCACGCATTTGACTAGAAGCAAAGAAGCATTTCAAATTAATCACACATTTGAACAAGTCCAGGCAGGAAACGCACAGATCAGTTGCCTATTATGATGAGAAGTCTATGGTTCTCTCTCTTTAGGCACTTCATAGAGTTTAGAATCGAAGGCCAGAAGCAACCTGTCTGACCTTCTTCATCCTCACTTCAAACACTGCACAAGCCCTGGCAAACATAAACTACACACCCAGTCTCACATGTTGGGCTCAACCCTGCTTTACTCTGGTAAAAACCCATCAATATCAATGGGAGTTTTACCCGAATAAGTGCACAACTCGGCGCTTTGACTAACTGTAGGGCATAGAGGGAAAATTGCAATTGTAAATCCTAATCCTACTCTCTACTCTGTATCTGAAAACAGCTACATGATGCACTATCTGGCCATGGGGGCAGGAGAGATATATAGTCCCTACTGCGTCTGGTGCCTTGTGTATCAGTCACCAGCCCCACACCTGAGGATGGGGCACACCTACAGAGGTTTTGCCTACATTTCATGTTTGTTAGGCCTCAGGGCCAAAGCTGTTAAATGTATTATATTTTGTTTCTTTTTTCTAAATGCTAGACAGGTAATCTGCCAAATTCAACAGTTAACTCAAAACTTTCAGAAATTATTTAGATGCTCTGCTGCAGGGATGATTGGGCAGGCTGCCAATTCTAAAGAGACCCTGATTTGATGAAGAGGGCTGGTTTCTGACTCAAGCATGGAACCTCCATTGCTATAATCAGCAGTTCAGAGGGCCCTTTGAAAGTACCAAATCACAGACTGATGACTCAGTCCCACCCGTTTCTCTAGGGAGTCGTTTTCCTCCACTACATTCTAATGGAGGTCCCATGAAAATGAAAGCTTGACAGCCTGTACTGCACCTTCAGACTCCCATGAGGCGTAGCAAGCCTAAAAGTGGTCAAGGTGGGCTGAGGAGAGGAAGTTTATTTGTGTTGGGTTTTTACATAGTGCCCCTTACCTAACATCCGAGTGCTCATTCAGCACCTCTTGCACAGCCTCCACCTGTGCGACTCCTACAAAGTTCCAGCCAGAACTAAAAAGTTACCTTTCCCTGTGCAGCTCCATGGAGAGGCCAGCCCAGCCAGGTGTTTAATTTCCCATTCTGATACCCTTGTGGGTGTAGGGCTATGTGGTACCAGTTGCAAACCCCTTGTACTTGTTGGGGTAAATCAAGCCCTGCATGTGTGATAAACTATTAATATTTATCTTAAACTGAACACACACACACAGATTGTTTATATTTAACTCCGCTCAAACTTCACCCTGTGGCCAAGTGCCTTGGCTATTGTTTCCAGCTATCATTAAATAAAGGGTCATTTAATTGGTCCTTCCAGTTAGCCTGACAGAAGGATGCCTAGCACACCCATCAGCTTTAACCAGGTCTACAGGCGATTGTCTACAGAGCAAAGACCTGTTTGATGGCAGCCATTAACATCTTTCAGCATAGTAATACCATATCTACAACTGGCCTTTCTTCCTTGAAGCTGGTAAATCACCACTTAGGTCTAAATCCTGAAAACACAGACCTTCCAAACAGGTTCAGGCAGCTACTTTTTATAGAATGTCATGAAAAGAAAAACAAACATAGATATGATATAATTACAGGGTAATAAAACTATAAACACTACCAATATATTAATTTTATGTTTATTTTTTTCATGCTTGGTATACCAGCCTACAAATCTCCTCTGGTTTTGTAGTGAACAAAAAAGATGTGTTGACTATTAAAAGTCTGTGTGTCTAACTTTTTCATCCATAAAACTAACAGGCTGGTATACAAGAAAAATCATCATGCAGAGAAACTCATCCATAAGAAGAATAAGTGAAGTATATCACCATAGATAAAAGTGCGTGCATGATCTATAAAGACTTCATCAACCTAACTGTGAAAAAGTGCTGCAGGAAGAGAAATGTTGATTTTAAATTATGGATGGCCAAACTGATACCAGTAACATCAGAGCCATCTCCCAATTCCTAACCCATTGCCTGTTTTTTAAAACGGTGCTTTGCTGAAATGTTCAGATAAATGTTATTTTCAATGTACAGTTTTCTGGTCAGGACCAGAGAGGTCAAAATATCAAGAAAGAGACTCTTCTCACAGTATATCCAGACATGGTGACAAGCCATTTGCTCCAGAATCAGGGTGACCTAGCAGGTTAGGGGATGTGATCATACACATCATTCCTCTGAAGGTTTCGAAGGGGGAGGCAGGTCAGTTAGGCACACCACAAAGTGCATTTGAGTAGTGATTTGCCATCTGACTGCTTAAAGAGAGGATCACATTTAGACATGGTTAGTAGGCTGTAGATCCTTCCTGAAGACCTGCAATCAGGTAGGTAGGAGCTGAGGCCCACTAGCAGAAAGTTGTGGATTGGGAAGGGTGGGACCTAAGGAGTCTGTTGCAGGAGGCAGCTCCACGGGGGACCAAGGACAGACTGTTTCACAGCTTGAGGGGGGAGAGGGAGGAGATAACTTGAACAAGCTTCAGATAAGCCTCCAACTGCTTGTCCAAACCTATCATAAATCCTGAACCTCTGGAGATTGGCTTATCGCTGATTTGAAGTTTGGCCAATGTCATCCCTCACAAAACTCCACTCAAGTCAGTAGATTCACAACAGGGATGAATCTGTCCCACTTATTTTGATATGCTTAATTTACAATACTTGCCTCCAGAAAGGGTGCATAGGACTCCTCCATAGCTGGACATATAGCAATATCAAATAGAAAATTCATGCATTGTTTTCTTGTTATAACAAATGCAAAGCTGCCACAAGCCACTCTATTCTTTATTTAAAATGATAGCTCCTGAATATGAAAATCAGCAACCCCAAAACGACTCATGCCAATATAGAAGAGCTACAAGTAGATTACACATCACTGAGCTGTAATAGTAAGCCTGCAATTAACTCATTGCCACACTGAATTCTGTGCATTAAAAGTGCATTGCAATTTTGCAGAAGACATCTCTCATGCCAGTTTGAGAAAACATATTACAAATGATTAAATGGATTCAGAATAATGTAGAGATTTACATATCTGCCAAATTAGAAATGATTTTTGAATAACTGACAGCTAGGAGAGAAGCTTTTGAACGATAGCAAAAGGCAAAAATCCCTAAATAAAATAACCAATTTTCAGAGCACAAAATGTTAAGGATAGCATTGTCAGACATTCAATGTCATTCCATCTGGGATAGCAGACCAGTAGAGCAGCAGATCTGCCAATGTATGTTGCTCTTCCACCTAATTGCTAGATCTATACAAATCCAGAGCAAAGCACCACATTCTGTATATGAATAAAACTTCCAGTTGCTTAAATTACCTGTTTCTTTAAGACATCTCCCAGAAAACCAACCGTCTGTGAAAATGTCAGCTCAGAGAGCAGATCATCAGGTAGAGCCAAGGCAATCTATAACAGCTGGGGATCTGCTCCCAGATATCTTTGATACTCATTCTGCTTTGAGTTGCATTCAGCATGGTCTTCTTTTTCTTATACTGCATCCTGACAGTATTATGTCACTTTGTGGCAATATATGAAAAAATGTAGGTAAAGTGGTGGAAAATGTGCTGTTAAGCTATAAATTTCTCTCTCCCTTTCCCCCTCTCTCTCACACACACCTCCTAAACTAAAAATATCCCAAAATGTCACCAAGAGCAGAACTGCAATATTCTTATTTAAAATTAGCCTATTTGATCACGAATTCTACAAAAGAATTGTAGAAATTACAGTTCTCTTCTATCATCCACATTCAGAGCAATTATACTCCACTAGCCTTAAAACAAAACCTAGAGCATAATGAGAATTATTGTCCATTTTCATAAGAGATCAGTGGGAAAAAAAATCCCCAACCTTACCTTCAGTGAAAATCCTGGAGCCACATAAGATTGGGAATGAGAAGCTTTTACTCATTTGAGAATTCTTCTCATAAGAAAAGGCCTAGAAGCTAGTTCCTACTTGAAAAACCAGCACGGTGAGGAAAGTTGTAGCTTACTGAATGAATCAGCCAAACATCTGATCTCTAAGGGCAGTAACTGTTTGAATCTGGAATCTCCTCTGTGAAATAGGAAGTAGAAAAATAATGCTCAGGACCACTTAAGTAGTAGATATAGAAATGATTGGTTAAAAGCAGCAACTAATGAACACTAGGCAAATAAAATACATTTTTTAAATAAGAACAGAATGAAGTGCTAGAAACAGCAAACACCACCACTTTTTGGTATGGAAGGAAAGGACAAGGAAATTGCAGGATTATGTGTTCATCAGATCCTTGAAAATAATAGTTGCACAAAAACAATTGTGTATTGTACCTTCTTTAACAGGACATTTCTGGTCAAATAGAATGTTCATCTCATATTACATTTGAATGGTGTTAATGCTTAAAAACAGACTGACAAGCACCAGGAAATCAAGGATAAAACTCCATGACTCATTCACATTACTGCAGCAAAATAAAAGCCCAGTTGAGCTCCTCCACTCACAGACTTATTCTCAATGTAATACACCTTGCACAACTATGGCACTATATGCAAATTGTAAATGACAACTGACAGCTATCTTATAAGCAAAGGACAGAATGCCAATCTGAACTTGAGGCTCCCTACCTTGTAACACTGGCATCAAATAGATTGAAATATGTTTTTATGCATTGTAGATTTAAAATAATCTGCAGAGTTTATGAAAGCTGCATAAATTAACGCAAGTTACCAGGAAGTCTGGTATTTGAGAGCCTGATACATTGGGTAGGCAGATGTTAAAAACCTGTGTAGCAGAAACCGCACACCCTCCCCACTCTAGGAAATCCAAGCTCAATGCTCAATGACGCAAGCACTCCATTCATGCATCTCCTATTGAAATCAAGTGTCTGCAGGATCGCACTATTTGGTTATCACTTGCACATGAAAAAAACCCCTCAAATTCCATGGTCCCCCCTCTATTTGGATAAGTAGGTCTGTACTGTATTTTATACCCATTCCAAACTATCACTTAGTTACCCAACCCAGTCTATTATAGAATCACAGAAATGTAGGGCTGGAAGGGTCCTCCCAAAGTCATCAAGTCCAGCCCTCACTCTGAGGAAGGACCAAGTAAACCTAAACCATCCCTGGCAGGTGTTTGCCCAACCTGTTCTTAAAAACTTCCAGTGATGAGGATTCCACAACCTCCCTTGGAAGCCTACTCCAGAGCTTAATTACCCTTATAGTTAGAAAGTTTTTTCCTATATCTAACCTATATCTCCCTTGCTGCAGATTAAACTCATTACTACTTGTCCTACCTTCAGTGGACATGCAGAATTACTGATTGCTGTCCTCTTTATAACCAGCCCTCACCATATGTAACACTGAGGAAGGGAAGGTTAAATAATCAGCCAGCTGGATGCAACCCTTAAGGATATATCAAAAGGGTATTGAAATGGTAAACAGGAACATTCCTTGTAGATAGTTATCAAAGCCAGGGCAAGTAGACTTGAATCTTTAACATGTTTGCCTGTATTGTTAGAGGAATCAACAAGAGATGCTAAGTGTGTCTGTCTGTGTATACACACCAGCTTGTTCGATTTCACTCAGGATCAGCTCCTGTATCATATCACAGCACTGAGATATATTTACAGTGAAAACAATTATGAGTTTATACCAAAGATCAAGATTTATGATATAGTGAGCAAGGATAATGGAAATAGAAAGGTTTCATACTAGAATTCCTAGAGACTAAGCTTAACTTTAATAAGCTAACCATATATCTAAAGAAACTTATCTCATACCAATGTCCTTTGCAGTGTTTCCAGCGAAGGCATGGCAGCTTACCCCCTGCACCCTATGGCTTGTTTTTAACTCTTTACTTCTTTCCTGTTGAGTCCATATGTAAATGCGGCTTCCATTATGTTGGCTTCCAATGCTTAATCTACATGGCTGACAGAGAAACAGGTGTATCAGCATCCTTTGTCTTTCAAAACCTGTGTGTCAGCTCTGCCTTGGACACTGACTTTAAAACATATTTTCAGTACATATACACAACTCCTTAAATATCATCCATACATATATCTCACAATGATTATGAGGACCAGTATGACATAAACTTTTATTAGATATCTCACATGATCTCATTTATGGATGAATGCCACGAAAGCTGTGTAGTGAGTTTGTCAGGCCTGCTAGCAGTTGCTGTTATAGAACAATGAGCTCCCTTTTGCCAGCTGGCACCAATGGGTCTCTGCGTCACACTCATGAAGTTTCCTTCAAATTGTACTATAGTGGGTCAGATTTGCCCCTCACCTCCATCCCTTTGGAACTGGCATTGGGTTCAACCACAGTATGACCTTAGGTCCAGGCAACACACCTTTCTCGGGAGCCATGTGGTCCTTGCCTGCAGCTGTAAGAAGCCACACTTCAGAGCATGGGGAAGATGCAACTGCAGAAGAGGTGTTACTGCTCGTTCAACAGGCACTAACTTCTGGGAAGATTTCAGTCAGAAACAGTGTTTTCCCCAGAAATTGAAATCAGGGGGGGTGTTCAAAAATACAGAGATGTGGGGGCTGAGGACAGATGAGGGGGTGAGACTGTTACGGCGAAGGTGGGCTGTATGGCATCATAGTAAACACTGAAAAATGTGTCACAACCATTTTATTAGATTTAACTCATGTTTTTAAATCATCATCACACAAATTAAAGTTGGCTACACAAGCCTCCTATGAAGCACTATATCTACATCCTTCTTGGTTTCTTCTTGTCATTTTGCACAAATCTGTTAAAGAACTTCTGGAACGCAGTCCATTCATTTTTGGTGACGTCTCATGCGTCCGATACTTCCAGTCCTTCATGATATGCTCATGATCATGCAGAAGGCGACTTCTTTCAATTCTATTCAATGAGGAAAAAGAATGCTCAACTGTAGCTGTTGTGATTGGGACTAGAAAGAGATGAATTCCTACTTCTTTCATCCCAGGAAACATAGCACAAAATTTGGGTTGAACCACTAGTGATGATAAAGAAGTAGTTGAAGTCAAATCTACATTCATTCATCGTATGATATTCCACTCTGTGTTCAAATTCTCTATTCCATCCTGATCACATGGCAGCCCAACTGCAGGTGGGGCCTCACTTCACTCAACTGTCAGTGTTTTATAAAACAGGCATCTGTAAAAGCTACATAGAGGTTGATAGAATCCAGAAGTTGTTGTTGTAGAGATGTAAGAATCAAGTCAGTGTACTTTACTTTTTCAGCTGGCTTAACAAACACTTTTTGTCCTCTTCGTTTAAGGAGTTAATATAAGTACCCTAATTAGTCAACTTCTGAACTGAAGTCTTTGCTTCTTCCAGTACGTTTTCAATGGATATCTCTCTGATTGATCCAAGTGTAGCTTCCATTGCGGGACAGAGTTCTACTACTGTTGAAGCAACTGCTTGGATGGCATTGTTTAATGACCCAAGTGGTTTCAACAGCAGACTTATAAGAGAGAATGGTGATTGTCTTCTCTGAACTTAGTAGCAAAAGTAGTCCACCAGCCTCACTACTTAGATCTGTCCCATCTCGGTAAATATTTTCCAAAGCCAATAATAATGGTTTGCAGTAATTTTAAGACAACTGCCATAAATCGCTCATGAGAAAGCCAGCAGGTTTTGAACTTCAGTCCCAGTGTATCTTCTATATTTTCCAAGACATTCAGTTCTTTTGGACTCTTGCTAAAAAAAAGCGTATAATGAAGACATTTAATGTATAGCTTTTTAAATGCCTTTTGAGGATTTTGCAGCTCGTACTAGTGCTAGTTGGAGTATATGGCCTCTTCAGTGTGTATTGGAGAGTTTAGAGTTACACTTTTCTCTGAGAAAAGCTTGTATTCCACCATGTCTTCCAGAGAAGTTTGCAGCTCCATCAAATGCACAAGCAGCCATCTCTTTGGGGTTCAATTTGCAAGCATTTAACTCTTCTAAGATGTGGATTGTCAGAGATGCAGCCAATGTGTCTTCTATAACCTGAACATCTAGAAATTCATCTACCGGCCTACCATGGATAACATATGCAGTGACTTAATACTTGACACTCATTTGCATCGGTGCATTCATCAGCCATGTATGCACATTTTCTGAATGCAGTGAGAGAGTTCTTCACTTTTTCAACTGTTGAGCCTTTCATTGTTGCACTGCATGCTTCTAATTAGTCAGTTGAGTTTCTTGCAGGAAGATAGTGAGCATTTGCTGGTCTTGTACGGAACCAGTGTCCAATTTCAGAATTAACAAATAACAATGCCCTTAACATTGGCCTCCAGTTTGTAGTGTGTGCTATCTCTTGCTTAAAGAGAAAGTATGATGTGACAGCCATGTTTGTTCGCATAAACTGTGTTCCAGCATTCTTAACAGTGTCATTAAGTTCTTCTAAAATTGACTTTGACAATGACTGGCTTATAAGGCTTTCTGCATGTCGATGTAGTCCAGAGGACTGGTGTTTTGCAGCGTTTGCACACAGTTTGTCAACATTGGCTTTGCTGATCTGTCTGGCAAACCAAGCTCCTCCACTTTTACTATATAAATCCATGGTATGCTCACATCTTGAATACCGCATGCAGTTCTGGTCACCCCATCTCAGAAAAGATATATTGGAGTTGGAAAAGGTACAGAGAAGGGAAACTAAAATGATTAGCGGTATGGAACAGCTTCCACATGAGGAGAGATTTAAAAGACTGGGACTTTCCAGCTTGGAAAAGAGACTACTAAGGGGGGATATGATAAAGGTCTATAAAATCTTGACTGGTGTGGAGAAAGTGAATAAGGTCCTTCACATAACACAAGAACTAGGGGTCACCCAATGACATTAATAGGCAGACCATTTAAAACAATCAAAAGGAAGTACTTCTTCACAAAACGCACAGTCAACCTGTGGAACTTTTTGCCAGGAGATGTTGTGAAGGCCAAAACTAGAACAGGGTTAAAAAAAAACTAGATAAGTTCACGGCGAATATATCCATCACTAGCTCAAATGTGACATTGCAGGACTACACTAACTGTCATCTGTAACCTATCATTTAAATCAGCTTCTGTACCAAATGACT